AGGGCATAGCAGTATAGACCTTTAATACAGCATTCAGGAAGCAGAGGTAGACAGATCTCTGTGAGTTCAAGGCCAGCCTGGTCTACAGAGTGAAATCCAGGACAGCCAGGGCTACTCGGTAAGACCCTGTCTCGAAAAACAAAACAAAACAAAACAGTAATAACAACAAAAACTGCCCGGTACCTCCAGCCATCAGGGAAACGAATACTAACACTTCTTTGCTAACTTACCTCACCCTAGTGGTCACCACCAAGGAACCTGTCAACAAATGGCTGGCACAGATATGGGGAAAGGGGAATCCTTCTCCACTGCTCGTGGGAGTGTGGACTGGTGCCGCCACTAAGGAAACCAGTATGGCGGTTTTGTAGCTAAGATTAGAACTCCGGAATGAGCCAGCTATAACATCTCCGGGCATGTACCCAAAGGACTGTGGCCTACCACAGAGACACTTGCTCACCCTGGTCATTGCTGCCCTAACACAGCAGCTAGGAAACGTCACCAGCCTAGTTGTCTGTCAGCGGATGCCTAGACCATGACAAGGTGGTGAACACACAGTGGGAACCTGCAAAGGCCGCAAAGGACATTGGAAATTTCTGGTAAATGGGTGGAGCTGGGAAGTGTTGTATTAAACAAGATGGCCCAAGCTTGGAAAGAAAAAACCTCGGGTTCTCTTTCACATGTGGATCCTAGTTTGTGATGTAGACATGTGCGAAAATGGGGGGAAAACTAAGGGAGAGAAAAAAGAGGTTCTGAGGAAAAGGGGGGGTGAGTGCACAGGACGCATGTGACATGAAAGCAGAAAGGGGGGGGTTGGGGAGGAGGAGGGGGAGGGTGGAGATAAAGGAGGGGAGAGAATTATCTACAATGCACTTTAGTCAACAATGCCACTAGGATACATAGTTGTCTGCATTCTAACTGAAAAAACTAATTACATTTTAGAAGTATTCTTTAAAGATATAAAACTGTGGCTGGGCACAGTGGGAGTACAGCTTTAATCCCAGCACTCTAGCGGCAGAGGCAGTGACAGGTGGATCTCTGTGAGTCCAAGGCCATTCTGGTCTACACAGTGAGTCTAGGACAGCCAGGGACACATAGAGAACCTTGCCTTTAAAATTTTTACACACACTCTCTCTCTCTCTCTCTCTCTCTCTCTCTCTCTCTCTCTCTCTCTCTCTCTCTGCTGAAACACTGATGACTGGCCAGGACACGTTCACAGAACTATGAGACAAGGGGATGAGGAGCCAGCTTGAATGGGACCCCACTGTTGTCCAAATGAGGGCCACGTGGAGCACCACGTAGATACTGACAATAATGATTATAACCACTGACAAGAACATGAGTCTCAGCGCCAAACTCCCACACAGTGAAGAGGAGAACATTTTAGATAAGGTCATGCTATGTAGCCCAGGCTGGCTCAAGCCTCAAGAGCCTCCTGCCTCTGCCTCCTGAGTGCTACTGTGCCAGGCTAGGAAGGCACCTCTCTCACTGGCATGGTGTCACACGCCTTTTAATCCCGGTGCTTGGGAGGCAGAGGCAGGTGGATCTCTGAGTTCTAAGTTGTCTGGTCTACACAGAGAGTTCCAAGACAGCCAGTGCTACATAGTGAGAGCCTAGTTTTTTTGTTGTTGTTTGTTTTTTGTTTATTTTTTTTTTTGAAGTCTGTTTCTCTCTCTCTCAGGTTTTTTGCATTCATGAGTGTTTTAATTGCATGTCTGTGCACCACTTGAGTTCCTGATGCTCACAGGAGCCAGAGAGGGTGACAGACCTTTTGGAGCTGGAGTTTTAGATGGCTCTGAGCCACTATGTAGGTGCTGGGAACTGAACCCTGGTCCTCTGGAAGAGCAGCCAGTGCTCTTACCCACTGAGCCACCCCTCCATCTTTTAGAAAAACATCATACCAAGAAAGAAAAAAAAAAACAGGCAAACAAAAAACAAAAACCTTGGCTTCATCTGGATCCATCCAGATCCCATCCCATAGCCTGGGTTCTCTGTCGCTGTCCTTGTGTGTTTGGGGAACACTGGGTCACTGTGGTTCCTGCGGAGACCTCTGGTTCCAAATGCAAAGCTGTGTTTCTATATGTTATATATACTCTCTCCTCCAACACTCACCTAACTGCTGTCTGCACCAATGTCATAGCCCCTTAACAACCTCACCACAGAGATCAGTTGTATTCTTTCAGACCATAATCTACATGCAGCTCAGGCAGTACCCAATGGTTAAAACAGAACAAAGGCCTTATACGTGAGGTTTTGATGGGTGAATAGGAGTTTCCTGAAGCGGGAGGAAGACAAGGGGTGGCAAGCAGGAGAGGATGGTGTGCCTACCACAGCGGCGTGAGCTGTTGTTCGTTTACAGTGGAGGGAATAAGAGGGTACATGTGGGAGCCGGGAGCTGTGTAGAGGGGGTGAGAGGAGACGGTTGGGAGGGTCTTGAACATGGGCTGGAACTTGGAGTTGACGTGATGGGTGCTTAGGAATCTCTAGAAGTGTCAGTAGTGTCCCGGTTAGATTTTCTTGTCAACTTGACACAAGCCAGGGCCATCTGGGAAGAGGCAACTTCAGTTGAGACATTGGCCTATAGACAGGTGGGTGGGGCATTTTCTTGATTAATGATTGGTGTGGGAGAGTCTAGTTCACTGTGGGTGGTGTCACCCCTGGGCAGGTGGTTCTGGTGCCCACTGCATACAAAAGCAGGCTTAGCAGGCCATGGTAAGCAAACCAGTAAGCAGGGTTTCTCCATGGTCTCTGCTTCAGTTCCTGCCTCCAGGTTCCTGCCTTGGCTTCCGTGATGGAGTATGACCTGTACACCAAACAAACATCTTCCTCTCGGGTTGCTCTTGGTCATGGTGTTTATCACAGCAATAGAAACCCTATAGAAGACAAGTAAGAAATGTAGAGGTGCGAGACAGAGGCCAAGCACGGGATGGCTCTGCACCTTCCATCGTGAAGGCACCCGGACTCCCCCACAGCCAAAGTGGGTATGTGAGCACACCCTCCCTGAGCTGTGACATGGGTGACATGTCTCTGCTTCCTGTTTCTCCCCCCTCAAGAGCAGTTTCCGGCTCCAGCTTCAAAAGAACAAACACTCAAAACAAAGGAAGTGGTCCTCAACCGCAGGAAGCAGGAAGTGTCTGCTGGGTCCTCGGCTGAAGCCCAGGGACAGTGGGATGGAGTCCGTGGCCCTGTACAGCTTCCAGGCCACAGAGAGTGACGAGCTGGCCTTCAACAAGGGGGACACACTCAAGGTACAGAGGGCTGGAGCCAGGCTGAGGGGGCTGATGGGGGATGGGGTTGGAATCAGGGCCCAGGATGGCTCTGGGAGTCTGGGCTATGAGGGACAGGCTCAGTTCAGCCACCTCTGCCCACCTCAGTCTCCCCATCTAGGAAATGGGAATAGTATTAGTGGTCCTTCCTTTGGGGTCCTTGTGAGAGTTTGAGGCAGCGGCCATAGTGCCTGATAGGAGTTTCTTGAATCCCCAGTTTTCTAAGTTAAAACAAAAAAGTTTAAAAGGTTTTGAGATGAGTAATAGGATGAGAGCTACGGAGAGAGGGTGTGTGTGTGTGTGTGTGTGTGTGTGTGTGTGTGTGTGTGTGTGTGGGAGAGAGAGAGAGAGAGAGAGAGAGAGAGAGAGAGAGAGAGAGGAGAACATGTGTGTGTGAGAGAGGTGGTCCAGAATAAGCAGACATCCTAACCTAACGGGGCTAGAAGATCTGGGATTTAAATGTCTCGCAGTCATGTGGGGAAAAGGAAAACAGAATGACAGACGTCATTTGCTCTCACCTGGGCCCCTCTGGATCGAAATGGTGGCCTTCCACGTTGTTAGACGGATGAATGTGTGAAACTTCTAGTAGGAATGTCCTTACTTGGACATTTGCGTGCCATGCAAGAGCCCAGGAGCCACAGTCAAGATCTGGGGAGTGGTCACGCTTGATCGTGGGTCCTGGAATGCTAATAGCCCATCCTGTGCCCTCCATGGCCCTTCCAGTGACACACTGCAGCAGCAGGCACAGGGCTAGGTGGCTACCATCCTGAGTCTGGCCCCAAGATTCAAGCATGGGGACAGCCTCTTTGAAGCCATCCTGTGCATGGGACCCAGGCTCAGTGTGGAGCTCCTGGGTGTGGAAGGCCATTGCCTGGGTGCAGTGAATCGCGGCGTGGGGAGGTATCTGCACGTCCTTAGCGTGAAATGGCGTCTCGACCACCATCGCTTTAACTCTTGGGCCTTTGTTCAGTCGCTTGGGTGTCTGAAGCTCTAAGCTGGGGTTCAAAGGTTGGTATGAGTCTAAAGCAGCCACATATATTTGTGGCAGCCCCTTCTCCAAGGCTGGGCGCTGGCATCTGTAGCTACCTAAGCTGTTGGCCCTGGGTCCTCGGCACTCAACCACTTTGGCCTGGGAAGGGCCTGGAAGTGGGGATGGGGGGACTCTGTGCAGATCCAAGTTTACTTCATAGGCCTCAGCTACTCCAGAGATCGGCCTGGGGGATGTCCTCACACACACTTGAGGCTGGAGGGGAAGTGGCCCACAGGAAGTAGGAATGCTGTGGAGACGATTCCAGCCCAGGCTCAGAGGACCCAGGGAGGTCCCTGGGGGTAATTCTGTGAAAACTGACGGCCTCCTCCTTCACAGACTCCCAAGATGAGCAGAGAAACACTTGCTAAGCGTCTACTGAGGGGGTTGGGGATTTAGCTCAGTGGTAGAGCGCTTGCCTAGCAAATGCAAGGCCCTGGATGCGGTCCTCGGCTCTGAAAAAAAAAAAAAAAAAAAAACCGGGGTGGGGGTGGGGAGTCCATCTGCCCGAAGAAGCCCATGAGAATGGGGACCTGGAAGCACAGTCAACTTCGGTGAGGGGGTGCAGAGAAAGCAGAAGAGGTTCCTGTCACGCTCAGGGGGCCACGGGTAGTTGGCAGACCTTGGGGGGCTGCTTCCCCCTTTATTCATTTGACAAGCACTGGGCTACTCAGCCAAGCTTCGGGCAAGGGCACAGGCAGGGTGGCAGGAGCCTAGGGGCTGGGGGGGTTTGTGTGGAAACCCAGGCGCCTAAAGAACTGGCCGGGCAAAGAGCCTGGGGAAGAGCGAGCACCCGGCTCTGCCTGCCGACACAGCTCTCTCAAAAGCCCTGAGGCGGGACCTTGACCTGTTGGAAGAGTTGACGAAAGTGGGAGAGGGAGGGAGGAGTCCGGGCCTGTCCGGCGAGCCGAAAGGACGCAAAGGGGGCTCAGGCTAAGAAAGAGCTTCATGACCCACACGACGACAGTGTGTAAAGAGCTCTTTCGTCTTGTTTTTTGAGACAGGGCCTCACTATGTAGCACTGGCTGTTCTGGAACTCACTATGTAGACCAGGTGGGCCTTGAACTCAGAGATCAGCCTGCTTCTGCCTCCCCCATTGCTGGACTTGAAGGCGTTAGACACCACATCCGGCTTTAAAGAGCTCTTCGAAAGTACACACACACACACACACACACACACACACACACACACATACACTAATATATATATAGTCACAAATGGAAAACCAGACAAGGGACACAAACAGAAACTTGCCCCAGAACTTGCCCCAGAAACCATGTGAGCAGGTAGCTGCCCAGAAGCATCAATGACAGACACTGTGTGACTGGTGTCCACTGCCCACTCTGCATGACTTCACTGTATTTTAATTAATTTACTGTTTTGAGACAGAACATCGCTATGTAGCCCTGGCTGGCCTGGAACCCAGGGACCTGCCTTCCTCTGCCTCTCTCTCCAGAGTGCTGTAACTAAACGTGTTCACCACCATGGCCAGGGCTTTACTTTAAAAACTTCCTTTTGAAAAAAAAAAAACAACCAAACAAACAAAACCTCCAAGGTGGTTGGGAGCGTGGAGAGGTGTGTACTTCCTTGTGGGGTGGCAGATGGGTGAAGTGACAGATGGACATCCGGGAAACATATAAAAAGCTTTCAGTGTTTGCATTGGGCCTTGGTGGCATGTTCCTGTAGCACTCGCGGTGTTGAAGCAGGAGGATTACTTGAGCCTAGGAGCTTGCCTGGACCATTGAGAGTCCTGTCTCAAAACGAATAAATGAGAGAATAAAACAATCTGCTGTATGGCCCAGAAACTCCCCTTCATAGCCAGACAGACACCTTTCTTCCATCAGCCAGGACTCTGGAGCATCTGGCAGGTCTCAGGTCCTGGTCTAGACTCCAGCTAATGGTCAGAAAGCAGACAGCCAGGCAGGCAGGGTTGCCGCTTCCAGGCAGCTGGTGCTCGGGTGGTGGACGCAGCACATATTAGATACAGAAGTAAACCGGAGTGGGCGTGGTAGCACAGCCAGTGACCCCAGCCCTCGGGAGCTTGAGGGTGTAGTCCTACCGCTCTCCAGCCGGGTGGGGATTGGGAGGAAACCCATCCTCCTCACCCCAGAGCACCGGAAATCACTGAGGGTGCACAATTGTCAGGACTGTTCCCGTGCAACGTCACATTCTTTTTGTTAATTGGCTTGTTTTCTTCCTTTTGGTAAAAGTATACTTATTTATTGGGGGGGGGGGTGCGGTGCGGTGCGGGTGCCACAGGGTACGTGTAGAAGTCAGAGAACAGCTTAGGGGAATCAGTTCTCTCTTGCGACCATGTGGGTCCAGGGACTGAACCTAGGTCGTCAAGCTTGGTAACAAGCACTTTTATCTGCTGAGCTCTCTCCCTGGACCTCTTTCTGGTTTTTGAGACGAGGTCTTCCTGTGAGGCCCAGGCAGCCTTGAATTCACTATGTAGCCCAGGCTAGCCTCAAACCTACAGTGATCCTCCTGCCCCACCTCCTCAGTGCTGGAATAGAGGCTCATGCACTAGAGCCCCGCCCCTTTTCTCTTACAGGCCAGGGGTGAACTCAGGACCTTGTGTATACTAGGCAATCACCTACCTCTGGGTTTGTATCGATTTTCACCAGCTGTGCTTTGGACTGGCAGGGAAACTGTACAGATGAAAGGGTGTATCCCCACGGAGGCAGCCAGCTGCCAGCAGCCAGCTCTGGTTATGATGAACTGGATTGCTATATTAGTACTGACCACCACACATCTAGACTTCCTAACGATTTCGATTTGTTAATATATATTTGTTAATATATTGCGTTAGAGATTATTCAGTATCTTCATTCTGAGATTTTTGGCATTGCTTTGAATCTGACCTCAGAGTACTTCGCCACCTCACTGGAGTCTCCCCCTGCTGTCTGTAACTTAAAAACATTACAGACATGTTTACTGCAGCTGTACTTCCTCTCTGGCCAGGGCTACACTGTGTGCTGCTGTCCAGCCCCTCCCCTTGGGCTCTGGTGGGTGTTACCATGTCAGGCCAAGTGGTTCCAGCTTGCAGGTGGAACACAGCTTCCTCTCCAGGTGCTGCTCAGTAAATCTAGGTGGAAACCCCGTGGCCTATAGGCTAGCTTGGGACATGTGGCCCTGAGTGACTCTTATCAGGGATGAAGGTCCTCTTTGGCAGGCAGTGCTTACAAGTAGATAGCACCTGCCACTGCTGGAGAAAGAGCATGGC